TCGTCTGTCTTTTCACCGTTGGGCTACTATCGACGAGATCTTCATTTCTCGTTTAGATTCTTTCGACTAGAAATCACTCGATCTCATATTCGAACTTTGGGTTGCATATCGCTAAGTCGAAACTTCGAAAAATCATAACTTCCTCATACAAAGTCAGATTTAGACGTTCTTCTTATGCACACTCTCGGTTTAACTTATTCTACGACTTTCGTTTTAGATCACTAAGGCTAGATATCGCTCTATCTTAAATTCATATTTTACGTCATACAGCATCGTGTCGGGTTTTGTCGCGAAACTTCGACAGGTCATAACTTCTTCGTTATAACTCGGATTTCAGCATTCTTTATATTTTCGGAAACCTTGCCACGACCACTACAACTTCATGTATCGATATCGGTTCTATCTAACATTTTATTTTTACGCTTATTTTTATTCTTAATTCATTTAAGCCACACAATTAAGCATAAAACACATAATACTCAAATAATACATTTCTATTATTTCAAAATGAGTTACAAAGGTTAACCTAGACTGTTACACCATCATTAATGTCTAGCCTAGAAACACGGGTGTTACAATAATCTTTAGAACATTTACCTAAACAAACACAAAAATCGATCAGATCTAGCCTCAACAACATCAATCATCTCTTATCTCTTTCAAGAATTTCAACACACAAGTTATACCAGATCTTGTCACTACCATATGGATCATCGTTCTTAGATGAAGAGCTTGGTGAGCATATGTGATTTTTAGAGTATGATGAAGCAGGAAGTGGCATAGTTGAAGATAATGAAGGTGATGGAGGCGTCAAGGATTGAAGAGGAAATCGGAGGTTGGAGAGGTTAAGCTAGCTAATCACACGGGAGAAAAGTCAAAGGTTGGAGAGGAAAATCAGAGTTGTAGATGATGAAGACGAGGGAGGCAATGAGGATAAACCCCAATTTTGATTACCCCACATCTCCTGTGGTGGCATCCATCCCCAACACAAACATAACCAACACCACCACCAAGAAACGCCTTAACACCTCCCTCTGCAATGACATCAACCCATCAACACAAACAGACCCAGTTTTCGATGACCAATAAGATCACGACTCAGACTCTCCCCCCCCCCCCCCCTTCATACACTCCGTCTGAAAACCAAACTCAAACTCGCAGTTAAACACGACTGTCTGAAAACCAAACCCAAGTGAAACTTCGACGATCGATGTCTGTAAATGGTTGTTGGGGGATAAAGCTCGATCGATGTCTGTAAAGGGTTATATGTATGTGTTTTTTGTTTATGATCAAAGTCGAAATCTGCAAAATCCTTGAAGAACAAACATCCCGAATCCGAGTTCTTGAACATTTAGGTTCATGTATTTCAGATCTCTTGTGTTCATCTTCATTTTGGTTCATATGGCGTGTGTTTTTATGTAAAACTGGGCGTATGTTTATGTTTAAGAACAAACTGAGAATGGATCAGTCGGAGAAGGGTTAGTGAGAGAAAGCATAGAAAGGTGGGCCCCTTCTTATTTTTTTTAATTATTAAAATAAATAAATTAGTATTAGATTTAAGAAGAAATGAAAGAAAAATGGAAAAATAAATACCCCAAGGGTATTACAGTCATTTCGCTATTCAGATGGACCAAAAACACAACAAAACTAGCTCAAAATGACCACGAATCCAAAAAAATCAGGGTTTAGACTAAAACCCAAAAAAAATGCATACCACAAGGACATTTTTGCAGTTTTGTCAATCTAAAAATGTTCAAAACTTCATTGACATTTATAGGCTAATCTTAAATAAATCTCCGTCTAACAATCAAAATTGGATGGGAGCCTAATTACTTAATTAGGATCGGACTGGTCCCGGCTTAAACCCCACCCAAAATATGAAACCGATAAATTTGAAAAACAGAATAGGTTCTTTTCAAGATAACTTTTATGAGTATGATATGATTGTTAAATGTTTTTTTTTTCCTAATATTATAATGATTTTCAAAGACCTGTTACATACTTCGAGTCTTAGTAGCATTTATTTCTTTCCAATATTAATAAAAGTAAAATAAATAAATAAATAAATAAATAAAAGGCCAAGATGCAGCTTCTTTGAAACCACCTTGTAGTGTGACGAGATGCAGTCTTGATGGTCGGTGCAATTTGCAGATTTTCCCATGCATAATCCCATATCTACGCTATTAATAGCTTTCGAATCATCACTTGACACGTAGAAGAACGTGTGGTCCCACAACTGCCGACTTTGCCTACTGTATCTACATTTTTCTCTCTTCTACTTTTGCTAAGTGTACATTAATTATCCTTCTCGCAAACACTTCTTTCAAATAACCCCATAAAACACAACCTATCCAATGTTTTTAAAAACCTAATTAGGCCGATTTATTTGAAGGAGGTTTAACAAAGAATCTGTCCGGGTTAACGTCGACAATGAGACATTGACATTTTTATAGGCTACGAGGAAATTTTATTGTCATATATATATGAGATATATGTAATTGTCATTCTAATTGTAATAAATAATAAATGACAATGTATTTTTACTTTCATTTTTGTTTAGTAAAAATTTGTCATAAAAATATCCGATTTCAGAATGCGCGTTGTATTCTATAGGTTTAAGGTTTAACTGTTTCAGTTGATCCTTAATATCTTTGTAACTTCATTGTTTACTAATCTTATACGTAACTTGATAATAAATTATTTGAGCTTAATTACTCGTCAATTTTACTTAGATATTTTTTTATATTTTAAATGACGGTATCATTGTTAAATGTCCCATCATTTCGAATATAAGTAATAGACTTGGCAACGGACTTGGTTGACCTTTAGTTTTCTTAGTCAACAATTGGAAAATAAAAATTAACACTTACATAAATATCATAAATTAGGTTTTCTGATATTTTTTACAAATATGTTTCATTGAACTTTTTATAGTCAAGTCATTTTTAATCATAATATTAATAGTTCTACATATGCATAAAGGGTAAACAAGCAACAATATATGTTGTTAATCTTTTTTGGATGACAAAATTAATTCTTTTAAAAATCATATCTATAGATCTAGGGGTCATAATATTATTATGAATGACATGTTGGACTTTATTGAGGAGTTGCACAACATCTGGTGCAATAAAACCAAATGTATAAAACGCAAATAATATAAATATGTGTTGATTTTCTGTGCACGTTTTATCATGTTATATCACTTTGTATGAGACAAATTTTAAAGCGGTCTGCATACAGTGAAAACCCCACTTCCCATGCCCACGAGAGTGGAAACCCTTGTTCGATCTATACAGTTATGTTTCCCTCATACCCATCCAAAAACTAAAACATTGGCTAGTCTAAGTGTTGTTATTCTTTCTAATAGGTCGGTCAAGAAGTTTTCATGTGCCTCTTTATTGTAAGAAACCTCGACAAGCCTAAATATGTCAAAAAGATATCCCTAACCAGATTGTTTCGGTACTTGAAACTCGGGAGCTCTTTACAATGTATTGTATGCTCCCCAAAAGAGTCCAAGCATGCCTTGTGACAAACAGGGCATATCTTGTCAATCAAAAATAAAGTGGTCATAAGGTGATACTTGAGGATAACACGATACTCCACGAATGATATATGTTAGTCAAGACCATCAATAAGAATAGCTATAAGAAAATCCTAAGCATATGGTGCACGCAGACACTCAAAAACTACTTACTGCCTAACAGTTATGTCGAAGTATACTTCCATGTTTTGGATGATTTTACTAAAAAGGACACTCACCAATGCATATTGGGCTATAGGAAGGAATTTTCCTTATTAGTGAAAGCTCTAAAGCCAAATTCTGGAATCGTACCACAAAGACAAGCAAAAACACAAAGATAATCATAATTCGTATCACATATGTTACTATCTCGTAAGATGTGGTCGTGTAACACCACAATTTAGCCCGTAAAGCCACAAAAGCATAGGAGGAAGCCTCTACCACCGAATATAATCCTAAAGTATCAAACATAATGGGTAACGAAGCAAGTCGTCATTGGATGCCCCAAAAAAAGGACCTTCACAACCCACCATGTCATCAATCGACCCACATAGCCCTTTATCAAATAGCAAAGCCACATCTTCATGTGAACGGGTTGGCACGTCCTTAGGGAAAGGAACAGTTTGATAAGGCTCATGCAAGATCGAAGCAAAAAGAGATCACTCTGAGGTCACATAACTGTGGAAAATACGCATTAAAACAACAACATTGGCAACTTTCTTCATGGTTGTCCCACAAATGATTAAGTTCAGTTAAAAGTAAAATCATGATGCGACAATTCAATAAACTTTATAGTTCAATACATTATAAATACCCTAACTTTCGAAAGTCATGTGTAAACACCCATCAAAATTGAAAACGAGTGAATGTATTAAATAATGTGATTTGAGGGCCCAAACACAATAAAAAATTAGGCCCTTACAATAAGAAAAATTAGTAAAAGAGGGTGCTTTTTATTTTTGTTGATTTTAAACAAGTCATTATAATTTTATGTTTAGTATTATGACATTATTTGTTGATTTTTTTACTTCATTTTTTTTCCGTTCAACCGCTATATACGATATATTAGGGTTTTTATACTAACATAATAAAATATATAAAAATAAGGCCCTAACAATTTAAAAGCCTTGAGCCATCGTTCGAAATGCATCACCCATTGACACGACCTACAACTAACACTTGCTAAATGTTCATAAATCATAACCAATATTATTTGTTATCATGACTTATTATATTTCAGTTTCACTTATGTTTGCTATCTTGTTTATTTTTTTCACATGTTTGAAACTTAAATGATACAAATATACAATTATGTTTGCCACACTCTTCCTCCCTAACAACTCACTTTGACTTAACTTAGAGGACTGTATAGCAACTTCTCAAAACTTCAAGGCCTTGAATAACTAACAAACAAATCACAAGGGCCAATAAGACACTCCATTTCCACTATAAATATACGAAGCTAGCTAACGCCTGTTTTCAAAACCGTATTGACTAAGTAAACTAGAAAAGAAAACTAGTTATCAAGTGAGATATTACCGTTGTCAGAGTAGAAATATCTAAACCAACAGAGAGAAAGCAGCCATGGGAGCTCTTGATCATCTTTCCAACATATTCGATTGCAGAGGTGGAAGCAACAGAAAGTACAAAAAGCGCAAGCAGTTGCAGGTAAAATACAGCTTAATTGCATTCGATTTTTGCTTTAATGTCTACAGATTTTCTTCTAATGACTCCATGAACACATACACTCGATCACATATATAGAAGTAAAATTCTGTAGCCAAATATAATTGATTCGAGTGGTACTCAGATCCGGTAGAGTTTGAATTTGACATATTCAGATTTCTTCTGAAAATATGTCCGCTGTTTGATCGGCGTTCGTGTTCTCAAGATATTTAAAATTGGTAAATCGATTATGAAATAAGATCACATATACACGAACGTAAAATTAGGATCATATTTTTCGATTCTCGAGTTTATAACTCAAATTCACTTGTGATTTTTTATTTCCAGCTAAAAATTCGAAAGAAGATTTTGAAAAAATGAACACAAATAACGATTCACGAACACTGATTTTAGGATCGGAATTCTTGATCTCAAGTTATTTCCGTTGTTCATATCAATTTCTAGCAAAAAAAAAAATGTTTTTTTAAAACAATCAGGAAAATAGTAGTATATTCTGGTGTGGGTTTGTACATTGTGCATTAAAAGTTGTACAAAGATATACTTTGTGTAATGCTTCGGTTATTTGATGATACTTGTCTGCCTTTAGGAAGATGATAGAGAAAGCCTAGCTAATGAAAGTGAAAGGAATGATGCTTACAGCCTTGTTTTGGCTTTTTCTCATGTCTAAGACAACACAGCACAAAATTTTCTAAACAAAAGAATATTATACCGCTAGATAGCTTTTTGGTGGCTTTTCACATATTTAATCTAATTAAAAAATAAAGTTATATGCTTTTTGAATCTTTAAATAAGTGTAATAACTTTTATTTCAAATTACTATAGAAATATATTATTATTTTTTTGGTTATAATTGGTAACATATCAGAACCTGGCTATTCAATTTATATGGTATTATTGAAATCTTTAATGATTAACTTTTGTACTCATTCTATATAAAGTGCTTTGATATTAATCATAACAACATTAATATATTTTTATATTCTAGTAATCATGTGCCATGAATGATCATCAATAATTTTAATTTTAATTGTGATGCTTTATAGTCTTATTTTATGTTAGTTCATACTTCATACTACTTATTAAATAAGAAAAACAATTCATACATGTTCTCTAGTAGTGGGTCATGCCTAGGGACATTTACGTCATTTGAATATACGAGTATTTGCCTTTTTTGGATAAGATTGTTGATATTCATTTCAATCCATTTCAGTTTAGTAAATAGAGTATCAAATACAGTATAAGATTAAGATTGTTTTGCTTTTATTCTGTGTAACAAAATTGTTTCCTAATTTTTTTTCTAAAATATTTATAAATTTAATAAACATAATCAACCAAATGGTTAGATATCAATCTGAATAGAAGTCCCACGAGGCATGTTTGAGTTGACCAAAAAGTGGTCCTGATTGGCCCACATAGACATTATGCCGTTTTGTTTTGGCATGGCACTAAATGTCACAATTTATTTGTCACTCCCCCTTATCCGCCGCTAACCATTCCCATTCACCAAATAAATTCTTGCCACCTTTCTCATATCAAGTATGAACATGTCACAAAATTCATAAAGTCAAGTACCGAATATTCAAAACTCTATTTTATATTATAGAAAATAAAAAAATATATATTTATTTATTTATTTATATATTATAATTTTGTAGTTTTATATTTTTCTAGTTAAAAATTATTTGCTTTGTAAAATCTATTTAATTATAATATTGTGTCTTTATTTTTCTATTAAAAGTTGGTTTGTAGTTGGACGACAAACACTTTTAGTATTTAAATAATACAAAATATATGAAAATAAGATGCTATAATAAATAAATTTAAAATATATTGCTATTTCTTTTACGTAAAAAATTTACAGTATTTATTTAATTTTTTTTTCTAATTTGAGTTTTTGTGTCATGTAATAGACGGTGGAGATCAAAGTGAAAATCGACTGTGACGGTTGCGAAAGGAAAGTGAGGAAATCAGTAGAAGGAATGAAAGGCGTGACATCTGTAACCCTTGAACGAAAGCAACACAAGCTTACAGTTGTTGGATACGTCGAGCCACACAAAGTTTTATCTCGTGTTGCTCATCGTACTGGCAAAAAGGTTGAACTCTGGCCTTATGTGCCATATGATATTGTGGCACATCCATACGCACAAGGTGTGTATGACAAAAAGGCGCCAGCTGGGTATGTGCGGTACGTTGAAGATCCACACAATCAGCTGGCACGAGCCAGCTCCACTGAAGTTCGGTACACTACTGCTTTCAGTGATGAGAATCCGGCTGCATGTGCCATCATGTGATTGGTCGGAGAGTATTTTAAAATTTTAAAAGTTAACCAAAAAGACTTTTAAATATACAAGCAAATATAAGTATTGGTGCATATGTTTAGAGCCATGTTTAATGTTTATTTATTTGTAGAAAAATGATGAAAAGGGAAAAAAATAGTGTCGGGTCTATTGGTTATTTTGTTGTCTTTTAGTTCTTTTTTTTGTCGTATTTTATAGTGGATAGGTTTTGTTTTGATATTTGTATATTTTTTTTATAATGAAATTATCTATTATATGTGATATTGTGTGTAACAGTCTTTTATATTTCAAGAAAACATATTTTGTTCTTCCATGGTTTTTATTTCATGTAAGCGTTGCGCTATTTTATGAGTAAAATTATATAAAACTTATCCGCGAATCATTTTTGGAACACAAACGAGGTTGTCAATGGTATATTTGTAATTAATATATGTATATTTGATGCCATTTTTGTTAAAATAAATATGCTATTATTTTTATTTGATACGAACACCGATAGAAATAGAATCCAATGTCATAATTATTGATAATATTTTTAATAATAATATGTTCAGTCTGAGTTACCCTTATGACCCACCTGAACAATTAAAAGACAGGAATTTTGAAAGAAATTAGTTTATTAATTTGTTATTTTATGATAAATTAATTAGAATCAGATTTGGATTATTTAGAATTAATTCATTGTAGGGATTGGTTGTTAATTAATTAAAGGTTTTGATTAAATGGAACAACTCATGGGCGATTTCAGCAAAAAGGTAGTTGTTTTGACATTAAGCACAACCGGATGCCTGAAAAATTCGGCCTTCCCCTCCCCTCTCCCTAAATTCGACGACAACAAACTCTTTTAGGTTTGTGGTTTTGCAATTTTCCTCTCTTTCTAAAAAGGCTGTTTTTTTTTTTGCTTAGTTGGTATTCTTAGATGTGATTTCATTAGAGAGATTTTCCTTTCGATCTTTGGCATCCGATCAAAATGGCAAGAATAAGATTATAAGCATAGAGTTTTTTGTCCGATAAAGAGGTATGTAATTTTAACTTTCTTGTGGTTGTAATAATAGTATGAACATAAGATTCTTGTATGTTACTGTATGAACATTTGACTAGGATTATCATATGCTTCCGTTGCCATAAATTATGTGTTAGTGTATTCAAAACCTTATAGATCCATCCCATTCATCGTATCATACTGATAATATCAGTGTTGTAAAAATCTCAACTAGTTCCTATTAATATCTGATTATTCCCTAAACGGTACTCGGTCAACTTAAAGTAGCAATTAGTATCCTGCCTAAACAATGAGTAAAGCTATAGAAGACGATGAACTGTTAACTCTTTGAAAAAGTTGTATGTAGATGAAAACTATTTGAAAAAATGATTATTGTATTAATCATATTAACCTATTTTGTGTATGATATGATTGCTATTTACCAATTTTATTAACTAGTCATTTAATTTTTAAATATTTAATGGATTTACAACTTAAGGTCTCCGATTGGTCGTTGATTAATCCCCAACTAAACCAACTAATCTCTGGTAGCTAGTCGGCCAACGTAGTACCGTTTAATGACGTAGATGCTATTGATTTCAAATTAGGAAGTGCTTTGGTTAATATTGTTATCATTAAATACCAGTTTATTAAAAACAGTATACCAATACTGTGGAAAACGTGATGACAACGCCATTTGGCCTAATTGATATGATATGAAAAGACAATACTTTAAGATTATCAATGTCATTATCAGTTAACTTGAATGTTTGGAACTATCAATTATTTAAGTTTTATTGTGATGTCTAAAAATAGTTTAACGTAATAATCGCCGATTCTAGATTTATCAAATCATTTAATAAACAAGGTTAAAAATCCAAATCCTATACACCTCATATAACTGTAGCTAGTTTTTCATACTTATATTATTATATAACAATGCATTTTATTATTTAAATGGTTTTGGCCGACGTATTTAGCGTATGGGATTAAACATATATTGTTAAAATAAGTTATTTTAGGAGAGATAAAACGGATGAACCTAACCCATTTAAAATAACCATAAGACTACTGACAAAAGTATCTGTTAGCTGGAGGCGGGTAGCGGTTAGCTGGTAGCGTGTAGGGAGTAGCTGGTAGCGGGAAGCTGTAACTTTTATTTGTTATATGAATGTTTGGCAAAAGTAGCTGAAAGCTTTTGAAATATATAAAATTACATAAAAGGGCAATTGATTAAAAATAAATAAATATATAAATATATTTTTAAGGGTAATTATGGAAATTGATTTCAAAAGCTCAGTAGCGTTTTGTTAAACGCTACATTAAGTAGCTTTTAGAATCGGAGCGTTTTGTTAAAACTAAAAGCTAAACTCTCATACTGCCAAACAAAGCTTTTTGTTTAAACCAGAGGGTTTTGTCAAAAGCTAAAAGCTAGAAGTTCTCAAACGCTTCCAAAAGCTATGTGTCAAACACGCCCTACATGTTACCAGACCCAAAGTGTCCACCTCATCATCCTAGTCACAATTTGATGTTATAACACTCAATGTGAAAATGGACAACACCATATAACATAGGATAATACTTACTATTTTCTATTTTTTTTTTTGGATGTTTTTAATTTCTATTATTCTAATTTGTTTTATTTTTTTTATTTACTTCATATATTTCTAAGTTGTTTTATTTTTTTATTATGTCATATATCTATAAAAAAAACATATAAATTAATAAAACATAATTTCATTAAATAGTAAATTAAAAATACCATACAAACTTAAAAAAAAAACATTACAAAGCAAAAAAAAAACATTGACCAAAAAACACACGATAGTCCTAAAAAACACACAGTAATTTAAAAAAAACACCGATAAACTATTCGTCATCCAAATATTTTCTCTCGATCTTTGCTTTCATCCTCCGTATCACTTCAGCTCGTCTTGGTGGCATATTTTCTTTGTTTGTCGTAAGAATTGTCAAATCCTTCAATATGCGATCTTGCTCGACTTCGTGACGAAGGAACTCCAAATGCTGACGTTGCAATTCATATATTTTATTTGCGATTTCCGTGTGAGTATCGAATTTTTGTTTCATTTCCGCGTGCTCTCGAAGCCGACTTTCATTCTCCTCTGCATGTCGCTAAGCGCGCTTCGCTTTGTCGCGCCCCATCGGTCATCATGGCAGAGAGATTTCCTCTATGTCATCAAAGTCGTCTGGGAGCTCATCGGTGTCCGCGTTGAGGTCGATGTTCGTGCGTCTGTCGGAGACGTCAACCGAACCTGAACCATGAGACCTCTTTGATTGTTGTTCTGATGATGTTGGTGTTTTTATCCATTTTGGATCTTTCCTCACGATCTCCCAAATTTTTTCGTGCTCAAATACGTGACCTATTTGCACGTTATATTCCTTCCTCGCAGTTCTAAACACATCGAACTCATTCGCAACACTTTGTTGTTGCGAAGAAAGTTTGTTGTAGATGGAATTGAATTTGGTGCACTTCCGGCTAATTTGAGTCCATTTGCCACTAAGCATATCGTGATTGCGATATGTGTCATTCTTGTTCAAAATTGTGTTGAATTTGACAATCACGACTTCCCAAAAAGCAACTGTCCTCATATCGTTCCCCAAAGTTGGTTGTTTTGAAGTCCCGCACCAAGCCACCGCCAACACATGCTCTTCCTCCAATGTCCACCATGTTGGAGGTTCTTCCGTTTGCTCCGTCCCGACCACGTCCTCTTTCCCTTTCTTTTTTGATCTCCATATTTTTCCCGATGCTTTCTGACTAACCCCGACTTGTGTCTCGATAACCGTTTCTTGCGTGGGTGGGGTTGTGTGGTTGTTTGTCGCATAAAAGGCGAGGTAGAGAAGTGTAGTGGGGGTGAGGCGGGATTGAAAAAGTTGGCGGAATATGGAATCTGAATATTGTACCATTTTTAAACGGTAAAAAGTTTACAACGTTCGGATTATACACGTTACGACCTGTTACCATAATAACGAATGATAACATAACGCCTAATAACGGGAGGATGGAGCGTTGTTTGCCCATTATGGCACCGTTATGACGATGCCACATCGGATAACACCATAAGGGTGTTGCCCATACCCATCCGTCTAAAAAAATGTAAGATTAACCAGAGCAGAATAATTCAATAACGTTTCTCTGCTAGTGACCCAAGCACATGGGGAACCAGAGGGATTTAAACTAAATTCGTATGCACATAAAAAACACGTATACCTATATAACAACCATTCTCATTTTTAATTATTTGGTAATGAATACATAATAAACTTTCATTTTGGAGTAACAAAATAATACAATTTTCTATTCAAAATATCCGCACACAAATCTATAGGAGATCCCAATGTGGATGTTTTCTAAAACTTGTTACTAATCTTATAATTTTTTACCATGGCCAAAGTGTCCTTTCTTAAAGATCTTGCAACACTTAGGCTATGAGATGTATCTCTCACACCCATAAGGTTTTAGGTATACACAGCACGAACCAGGCTCGTGACTAGGTGGCTGGTTGGTCATGGTCGTACACATAACCCCTGGTGCGACAACCGTGGCGTTTTGTGGAGAGTGACACGATAGGTAGACCCGGTTTAGAGCAAGGGCAAAGTGGACATCAGAACATGGCCCATTTTTTTAATACTGTGTTCAGTTTCAATCCAATCTACAGTCCAGAATCGACCATGTAAGGGAGAAAGCACAAGGCAGCATCACATCGCAGAAGAAGCGATCACATTCAAAAAAGAAGAAGAAGCGATCACATTCAAAAAAGAAGAAGGAGCGATCAGCGACAACGACAACGACTCAACAAGGGTCGATTACTCGTTTACTCGATTGAATGCAATGCACTCCTGCTAATCAGGTAATAGATTATGAGGATTATCAGTTTATAATTGTCAACTGAATACTTGAATGAATAGAATAATAGATTATCAATTTATCATATTCATAGAAATTAGTTTAATAGTTTATCACTATATCATATTAATATTATATCATTTAATAGTTTATCACTATATCATATTAGTATTATAATTAATAGTTAATAACTAAAATCTTAATGTTATTTGAAATCTTATTCAATTAGATTATAGAATGTTGAATGAATCATTATTAGAAAATGAAATTAAATAATTAGATTATGTTTATTGTATAATTATTTATCAGAATTCAAAAATCAGAGTGTTTAAAGAATCAATACCACTTTATCAGATTATCATTAATGTTGAAATTCTAAAATCTGATTGAATGTTGCATCAAATTATAAT